ATTTTTTTAAGTAACGACAAAAGAAAAGCACGTTCCCGGATTTGCAAATTTTATAAGCTCCACCAGAGGGAAGACTCGGCATCCCAATGCAATTTAGCACGATCCTATTTTTTTTTTTTACAGAGATGAGTAAAATTAGAAAACTGGAATTGGGTTCCGAATAAGAGGGCAAAATTGCTGGGTAACTTTAGAGTAAGCTCAGTGAATTTGCTTTCACGGAAAGCCATTTCATTTAACCACCGTACGACTTTGTGCAAATGGCACCGGAAAAGGGGAGTCACAACGAGTCCTCGCACTTACGACCATCGCAACATTCCCCGTGGTCACGTGATCAAAATTCAGGCCCTTGTCAACCAGGATGTATTTATGACGGTTGTAGCGTCCCGGGGGTCATGTGATCCCCATTTTGTGACCTTATGCCGAGCAAAGTCAATGGGGAAAGCCAGAATTCATTTAACAACCGTGTTACTACTTTAACAACCGCAGCGATTCACTTAACAACTGTGGCGAGAAAAGTCATCAAGTGGGGCAAAATTAATTTAATAAATTTTTCACTTAGCCGCATAAATTGGGGGCTCAATTATAGTTGTAATTCAACTTTCCCTGCTGGCTTCCAACAAGCAAAGTCAGTGGGGGGGAGTGGATTCAATTAACAACCATGTGATTCGCTTAACGACTGCAGTGATTCCCTTAACAACCGCGTGATAACATTGGCCGTAACATTCCTAACCGCCTCTTTGCTTAGCCATGGGAAATTCTGGTCTCAGCTGTCATCGTAAATAGTCCTCGACTTACAACGGTTCATTTAACAACTGTTCAAAGTTACAATGGCACTGAAAAAAAGGAATGTATAGTCATGTTTCACACTTGCGACCGTTGCAGCGCAGTTGTGATGTGAATCGGTGCGGTCGTTAAGTGGGTAACATGGTCGTTAAGTGAATCTGACCGTCCCCGTGGTCACATGATCAAAATTCAGAGGCTTGGCAAGTGGCATGTACTTATGACGGTTGCAGTGTCCCGAGAGGTCATGTGATCCCATTTTGTGGCCTTACGTCGAGCAGAGTCAATGGGGAAAGCCAGAATTCACTTAACTGTGTTAAAATTAACAATTGCAGCGATTCACTTAAGTGTGGCGAGAAAAGTCGTAACGTGGGGCAAAATTCATTTAATAAAAATTCACTTAGCACAGTGGTTCTCCACCTGTGGGTCAGGACCCCATTTGGGGTCGAACGACCATTTCACGGGGGTCGCCAAACAACGCAGTCTGCCATTTTTTTCCCCTTTCCCTTAGCTGTGCTACTCGCTTTTATTCTATTGGCTTTTGAAAGCCAATAGAATAGACTCTCTTGAATAGAGTCTAATTCTATTGGCTTTCAAAAGCCAATAGGAATTGTCCAGGCTGTCTCTGCCTGCTGAGCCCGCCAAAAGTCCCATTCTGCAAACGGTGCTGCACCAGTTGAGTAGTCCTCGACTTACGACTGGTTGAGTAGTCCTCGACTTATGACCGGTTGGGGGTCGCGGCATTAAAAAGGTTGAGAACCACTGACTTAGCAGCATAAATTGGAGGCTCAGTTACAGTTGTAATTCAAGGATTGCCTGTATCTTGTTTTATCTCTCTGCTGGGGAACCCAGTGACGGAGGTGAACTTATTGGAGAACACGGAAAGGTTCCTGTGAATGTGGCCCCCCCAGCCTCATAGAAGCCCCCAGAGCAGGGTACCTCTGCAAGCATGTTGCCCAGCTTGGCACAATGCACAAGAAACCAACCTGGCTAGGGGAAGCATGTATTTTGGAGAAGTAGTCACGCAGCTCCTGACCTTTGAGGCAGAGGGCACGTTTTCATAGCAGAGTTGGAAGGGACCTTGGAGGTCATCTAGCCCAACCCCCTGCTCAGGCAGGAGACCCTATATACCATTCTGAACAAATGGCTATGCAATCTCTTCCAGTGTTAGAGCGTTCACAACTTCTGGTGGCAAGCTGTTCCACTGGTTAATTGTTCTCACTGTCAGGAAATTTATCCTTAGTTCCAGGTTGCTTCTCTCCTTGATGAGTTTCCATCCATTGTTTCTTCTCCTGCCTTCAGGCGCTTTGGAGAATAGCATGACTCCCTCTTCTTTGGGGCAGCCCCTGAGATGTTGGAATGCTGCTATCATGTCCCCCCTCGTCCTTCTCTTCATTAAACTAGACATCCCCAATTCCAGCAACCGTTCCTTATATGTTTTAGCCTCCAGCCCCCTAATCATCCTTGTTCCTCTTCTCTGCACTCTTTCTAGAGTCTCAGCATCTTTTTGACATCGTGGTGACCAAAACTGAATGCACTATTCCAAGTGTGGCCTTACCAAGGCCTTGTAAAGTGATATTAATACTTCCCGTGATCTTGATTCTGTCCCTCTGTTAATGCAGCCTAGCTCTGTGTTGGCTTTTTTGGCAGCTGCAGCACACGGCTGGCTCCTATTTAAGGGATTGTCCACTAGGACTCTGAGATCCCTCTCACAGTTACTACTATTGAGCCAGGTACCACCTATACCAGGGGTAGGCAACCTTGGCTCTTTTATGACTCGTGGACTTCAACTCCCAGAATTCCTGAGCCAGCCTGGCTCAGCATGGAAACCTCTCCCTTTCCCCTCAGCGTGGCTGGCTCAGGAATTCTGGGAGTTGAAGTCCATGAGTCATAAAAGAGCCAAGGTTGCCTACCCCTGACCTATACTGTAGCTGTCCATTTGGTTTTTCTTGCCTAAATGTAGAATCTTTTTTGGGATGAGAAACAACCCCCCCCAGGTTGACTCTTTTCAACCTCCTCTCCCCCCCCCCCCCGGTTCCTGATCGGCATCCTATTCCATCGGTGCCTGCTGTGGATAGGGCTGGCAGCATTAATTTACAGGCGGCTTGAAGGGAAATAGTTAATCCATCTTGCTGTGGATTGATTTTTGTTTTTTTTCCCCTCTTTTATTGAGTGCTCCATTTGTTTTTATTCCTTCGGTTCGGCCTCACAGCCCTTTTGAAATCTTCTTGAGCTTCTTTGCCCTGCGGGCCCATTCGGATTGTCCAGATGGCTGGAAAACACACCGGCTGTCTCGGCTTTTGCTGATTGATCCCGAAATCAGACGAACTCATAAAAGGCTAGTATTGCCTTTGCGGTTCCTTCTGGGCATAAGCAGAAGGGTCTTGATTTTGGGTGATCCTACAATATTCAACCAGGTCCGAGTTTAAATAGCGGCGGTCCTCCACTTACGACCGTCATTGAGCCTGGTCGTTAAGTGGGTTATTGTGCAACTGTCCCAGATTTTATGCCGGGGTTTTTTGGGGGGGGGGGGTTTGCAGTGGTTTTTAAGCGAATGCTGCGCGGTTGCAAAGCAAGCACAGCGGTCGTTAAATGAATCCCTTGTCCATAATGGGCGTTCATTGCCAGAAACCGAAAGTAAATATCGATTTGGGGCAAACATGTTGTAAATCATGATTATGTGACCTCAGGATACTAACAAACAATCGTAGGTATGGACCAATTGCTCACTGCTCCAAATGCAGTCATGTGATGGGGTGGTATCGGAATTTCAAATTCAGGTTGCAAGTAAATGTTATAACTTTCTTTCTTTCTTTCTTTCTTTCTTTCTTTCTTTCTTTCTTTCTTTCTTTCTTTTCCTTCCTTCCCTTCCTTCCCTTCCTTCCTTCCTTCACCTATTTTCCTTCTTTCCACCTTTTTCTTTCTTTCTTTCTTTCTTTCTTTCTTTCTTTCTTTCTTTCTTTCTTTCTTTCTTTCTTTCTTTCTTTCTTTCTTTCTTTCCCTATCTATTTTCCTTCTTTCCACCTCTCTCTCTCTCTTTCTTTCTTTCTTTCTTTCTTTCTCGACCTATTTTCCTTCTTTCCACCTCTTTCTTTCTCTCTCTCTCTCTCTCTCTCTCTCTCTCTCTCTCTCTTTCTTTCTTTCTTTCTTTCTTTCTTTCTTTCTTTCTTTCTTTCTTTCTTTCTTTCTTTCTTTCTTTCATAAAATCTATTGGCCAGCCATCTTACCACAGGGTAACTTCAAATAGTTGCCAAGAGCCTGGTCATAAGTCAAGGACTACCTGGAGATCATGCTAGCTATAGTTGAATCTCCCACAATGCCCTCGAGAGAGGCTGCTACCTCAGGTGCATTGTGGGAAAAGGCTTTGGGGTCGAAGTTCCAATAGTTAGAAGGAGGCTTCAGATCCAAAGTTAAGAAAGTCATCCTCAACTTAGATTACAACTAAGCCCAAATCTCCGTTGTTAACCAAGGCAGTTTTTAAGTTGAGTGACCATTCAAAATTACAGCAGCACTGTAAAAAAATGACTTATGATCACGTTTCAGACTTAATGACCATTACAGCCCCCTTATGGTCACATGATCAAAACTTGGGCATTTGGTATGCTGGCTGTGGAATTCTGGGAGTTGAAGTTCACATGCCTTAAAATTGTCAAGGTTGAGAAACACTGTGTAAACGGTCATGAAATTCTCCTTTTGCCACATTCCCAGCCAAGCAAAGCCAGTTTTAAGGACCACACGATTCACTTAACAAGTGCAGTGCTTCACTTAACAACCGGTGTCAAGAGGGGTTGTAAAGTGGGGCAAAAAGTCACTTAGCAACCACCTTGCTTAGCGACAGAAATTGAGGGCTTGATGGTCATAAGTCGAGGACTCCCTGAAAATTTGGGGGAAACCTGTTTTTGCAGTTAATATTTATAAGATTCAACGTCATCCTTTTCAAGAGAAAAGACCTGTCCCACAATTTAGAGCAGGGGAAAATTTGCCCTTTTATGATTTTTGGACTTCCACTCCCAAAATTCCTCAGTCGGCCATTTTGATGAATCTGCGCACTTGGATCCAGACCAGGGGTCTTCAAACTTGGCCCTTTTATGACTTGTTTGAAGACTCCTGATTTAGAAATTATTGCTTTTCTCCCCCACGTCCTGGCCCACCCACCCAAACTTACCCAGTGGTATCACCACCTTTTGGATTGATTGATTTTTTTCTCTCTGTCTCCCCAGAAAGTTTGCACAAAGTGTGGCATAGAAATGCCGGATCCCCACAAACGGACCGTTTGGTTCTGTAAGATCTGCAACGAGCAGAGAGAGGTGAGTTCTGATGGGACCACAATTCCACAGGTGTGGTTGCGGTGGTTGATATCTGCGCTTGCTGTTGTCAGGAGAGATTATTCGGATCAATTTCTTAAGCTTGGCCCTTTTAACATGAGCGGACGTCAACTCCCAGAATTCCCTGGCCAACATAGCTGGCTGAGGAATTCTGGGAGTGGAAGTCCACCCTCTTAAAGCATGCTGGCTGGGGAATGCTGGGAGTGGAAGTCCACCCATCTTAAAGCAGGCTGGCTGGGGAAATCTGGGACTGAAAGTCCACAAGTTTTAAAATTACCACGTTTGGAGGCCTCTGCTTTAAATGACAACAAATGAACCAAATGTGTGACATACACGTTCATTTCTCTTTGCTGTCTTTTCTTGTCCAATTTTAAAGGATAAATATCTTGAGGCAGGAATTCAGTCTGTTCTAATCCGGTGAGCAACAACTCAACATTTTTTTTCCAGGAAATAAATTTCTCAAAGGGGAAAATGATTTATTTGGCACAGTTTCCACAGGTCTAAAGCATTTTGTGTTGTGTGTGTGTGTGTGTGTGCGTGCACGCGTTTGTGTTTAAACTCACCTCTCTCTGTGCTCTCGGAGTGTCTCGTTGAGTTTTTGATTAGCTTTTGCTGGAGGGCAGAAATTAAATTGAGTTTCAGGCTTTCACTGTTCTTTCTGTGAAAATTGCTCTTCCTTTTGTGCGAAGCCGTATAGATTAAATATGTTTTATTAAGTTCCCTTTGTCCCCAATCTCTATATTAAAATCTGTATTGGAAAGAAAGCTGCGTTCTTGGAAAATGTGGCCGCAGTGAGTTTGGCAACCAGCTTTCGTGTCACCTTATCAGCCGCGAGGTTTTGACCCTCTTTTAACTGAAATTATTTTTCTCTCAGCTTGAGTTTTAAGCTGAATATCCAAAAAAATTTTCCTTGGCTTTTGGTAGAATGCATTTACAGCTAGACCTATGACGAAAATTGAGCCCAAAATTTCTGTGGCTAATTAAGTGAGTTTTGCCCCATTTAATAAGTGGCAGGAATAGCCAACACTCCAGAAGACAGGCTTAAGATACAGGAGGATCTGGACAGACTTGAACATCGAGCGCTATCTAACAAAACTAAATTCAGTGGTGAAAAAAGTAAGGCAAGACTACATTTAGGCAAGAAAAACCAAATGTACAGGTATAGTATAGTTGCTCAATAGTAGCAACTGTGAGAGGGATCTCGGAGTCCTAGTGGACAATCACTCAACTATGAGCCAGCTGTGTGCTGCAGCTGCCAAAAAAGCCAACACAGTGCTGGGCTGCATTAACAGAGTGATAGAATCAAGATGACGGGAAGTAATAATACTGCTTTATAATGCCTTGGTAAGGCCACACTTGAAATACGGCATCCAGTTTTGGTCACCATGATGTAAACAAGATCTTGAGACTCCAGAAAAAGTGCAGAGAAGAGCAACAAAGATGATCAGGGGACTGGAGGCTAAAACATATACAGTAAGGAATGGTTGCTGGAATTGGGTATGTCTAGTTTAATGAAGAGAAGGACGAGGGGGGACAGGATAGCAGTGTTCCAATATCTCAGGGGCTGCCCCAAAGAAGAGGTAGTCAAGCTATTCTCCAAAGCGCCTGAAGGCAGGACAAGAAGCAACGGAGGGAAACTCATCAAGGAGAGAAGCAAGCTAGAACTAAGGAGAAACTTCCTGACAGTTAGAACAATTAACCAGTGGAACAACCTGCCTCCAGAAGTTGTGAGTGCTCCAACACTGGAGGTTTTTAAGAAGAGACTGGACCGCCATTTGTCTGAAATGGTGTAGGGTTTCCTTCCTGAGCAGGGGTTGGACTAGATGACCTCCAAGGTCCCTTCCAACTCTTCTATTCTATTCTAAACTATTCTATTCTATTCTATTCCATTCCATTCCATATTTTCTATTCTATTCCATTCCATTCCATATTTTCTATTCTATTCTAATCTATTCTATTCTACTCTACTCTACTCTACTCTACTCTACTCTACTCTACTCTATTCTATTCTATTCTATTCTATTCTATTCTATTCTATTTATTCTATTCTATTCATGAACACAAAAAAAGCAAAAGAGTACTCAAAGACACAAACGAGGGCTCAATAAAATCAGAAATAAATAAACACAAATCAGCATTCAGAACACTAAAAGTCCTTTTCTTTCTTTCTTTCTTCAATCTCTTCAGGTCTGGAAGCGATCTGGGGCCTGGTTCTACAAAGGTCTCCCGAAATGCATCTTGCCCTTAAAAGGGAGCAGCGGCAGCAAAGCCAAAGAAATCCACATTCGACCCCCTCCTCCTCGCCTGGCACCCCCATCCCTGGAACTCCGGGGCAGTGGGATGGATCACACCTACACCTGGGCCAGGAGCAAAGGTCAGCCTCTACTCTCCCCCCCCCCCAATGGGAGGCATCCAGAGGGATATTGGGAATGATTAAAAGAGGCTCAATCTCAGCAATGTTAATATGGGTGAACTTCAACTCCCAGAATTCTCCAGCCAGCATCCTGGCTGGAGAATTCTGGGAGTTGAAGTCCACCTATCTTAGAGAATTTGGGCACTGACGTCCATTCATCACAGCATGCCACTGGGGAATTCTGGGAGTTGAAGTCCACGCATCTTAAAGCATGCAGGCTGGGGAATTCTGGGAGTTGAAGTCCACCAATCTTAAAGCATGCAGGCTAGGGAATTCTGGGAGTTGAAGTCCACACATCTGAAAGCATGGCTGGCTGGGGAATTCTGGGAGTTGAAGTCCACCCATCTGAAAGCATGCAGGCTGGGGAATTCTGGGAGTTGAGGTCCACCCATCTGAAAGCATGGCTGGCTGGGGAATTCTGGGAGTTGAAGTTCACCCGTCTTAAAGCATGGCTGGCTGAGGAATTCTGGGAATTGAAGTCCACCCATCTGAAAGCATGCAGGCTGGGGAATTAATAACAACAACAACAACAACAACAACAACAACAACAATAATAATAATAATAATAATAATAATAATAATAATAATAGTAGTAGTAGTAGTAGTAAAGTTGGAAGGGATCTTGGAGGTCATCTAGTCCAACCCCCTGCTCAGACAGGAAACCCTACACCATTTCGGACAAATGGCTGTCCAGTCTCTTCTTAAAAACTTCCAGTGTTGGTGCATTTACTGCTTCTGGAGGCAGGTGGTTCCACTGGTTAATTGTTCTCACTGTCAGGAAGTTTCTCCTTAGTTCTAGGTTGCTTCTTTCCTTGATTAGTTTCCACCCGTTGCTTCTTGTCCTGCCTTCAGGTGCTTTGGAAAATAGCTTGATTCCCTCTTCTGGGAATTCTGGGAGTTGAAGTCCACCCGTCTTAAAGCATGGCTGGCTGGGGAATTCTGGGGGCTGAAGTCCATGCATCCTAAAGCAGGCTAGCTGGATGCTGACAAGTGGTACAAACAGATCTCGAATTAACGACCACAGTTGAGTTCAAAATTTTCTGTGGCTAAGCAAGACAGTTGTTAAGTGACTTTTGCCCCATTTTACGACCTTTCTCGCCACGAGTCGAGGGCTGTCGGTAACGGGTGGAAGATCATTAAAAAGAGATCCAACCTAAAAACCAGGAGAAATTTCCTGACAGAACAATTAACCAGTGGAACAACCTGCCTCCAGAAGCGGTGAATGCTCCGACACTGGACGTTTTTAAGAAGAGACTGGACAGCCATTTGTCCGAAATGGTATAGGGTTTCCTGCCTGAGCAGGGGGTTGGACTAGATGACCTCCAAGGTCCCTCCCAACCCTGTTATTCTCTTTTCTAAGTAATTCCCTGTTTTATACATTCCGGGCCAGAGGTCCCTTTTATGGGGCAGCCTGCCTTCTAAATTTAGCTCAAAATTAGACGATAGAAAGGCAGTTAGATTGGGGGGGGGGGCTTAATTCCTCTTCCCACCCCTCCATAATCTCATCTCCCCATCCAACAGCTGCCTGCTACAGAAGATTTCCTCCCCGCAGGCTGCTTAAATAGCAGAAGGGGGTGCAGGCCTTTTATTTTTATTCCTCCCCCCCCCACTGTAAAGTGGGAACAATTTCCCAGTTGAAATAGCCACCCTGGGTCTTTTGTCAGCTAAATTGAGGCTTGTATCTTTGTTTGTCTCCCTTCAATTGAGTTTGCAAGAAACAGCAGAAATGCCAGATTGGGGGGGGGTGAGGGGTGGGAACGGAGAGCCTTTGTAATGAGGTTTAGTGCTAATATACCCTTGTAGATTTGGGGGGGGGGGTCCTGTTTTTTTTTTCTTAAAAAAAAAAAAAAAAGAACATCGGAATGGATTTAACAGCCAGCATATGGGCGTTTGAGTCACTCTCAGCTTGTGACAGCTGCAAAGTTCTGGGTCTGTTTGGTGTTTTTTTTTTTTTTTTAAAAGAAGGATTTTACCAAGTTTCCAAAATAAAGAGAAAAAGTTAAAATACAAATTGAAGGGGGAGAGAAAGGATAAGTGGGGTTAAATAGCCACAGTGCAGATGGTCCTCAACTTTGGGCGACGAAGCCCAAAATTGACAACGCTAAGCAAGACCGTTGTTAAGAGGCCCATTTTACAACCTTCCTTGTTATCGTTGTTAAGTGAATCACTGCAGCTGTTAAGTTAGGAACACGGTTGTGAAGTGAATCTGACTCCCCCCCCCCTGGATTTTGCTTATCAAAAGGGGATCACCTGACCCGGGACGCTGCAGCCGTCGCAAAGATGAGTCAGTTGCCGAGTGTCTGAATCTTGAACCCGTGACCCGTGCTGCAACGGTCACCGGTGTGAAAAATGGTTATTAAGTGTTACCAGTGTCCTTGTACAATAACTTTGAACAGTCCCTCGGCAACCTTGGCTCTTTTATGACTCGTGGACTTCAACTCCCAGAATTCCTGAGCCAGCCATGCTGAGGGGAAAGGGAGAGGTTTCCAAGCTGAGCCAAGCTGGCTCAGGAATTCTGGGAGTTGAAGTCCACCAGTCATGAGGGGGCCATAGTTCCTCCATGCTGGCTCAGGAATTCTGGGAGTTGAAGTCCACCAGTCATAAAAGAGCCAAGGTTGCCTACCCCTGCCCTAAACAAATAAAAAATGTCTTCCAAATTATAATTCAGAGTAAATTTCAGTCTGTTTGCCCACCTTTTTGCCCAGTGGTCAAGCATAATATCACAAGTGTTCCTCCACTTAAGAACAGTTCGTTTAGTGACTGTTCAAAGTTACAGTGGCATTGAAAAAAATGAATTATAACCATTTTTTTTACACTTAACGGCCATGGCAGCCTCCCCGCGGTCACGTGATCAAAATTCAGACACTGGGCAACTGTTTTGTATTTATGACGGTCGCAGTGTCCCAGGATGGTGTCACGTGACCCCCTTTTGCAACCTTCTGACAAGCAAACTCAATGGGGAAGCCAGATTCATTTAAAAACCGTGTTGCTAACTGAACAATTACAGGGATTCACTTAACAACGGAGGCGAGAAAGGTTGTAAAATTGAACCATGCTTACTTAACAAGTATCTTGCTTATCAATCATAAATGTCGGATTCAATTGTGGTCATAATCAAGGACTACCCATATATCCAAAACCTCCTGCCCATTTAACCCTACCATCTGAAATATATTATTGTTGTTGTTGTTGTTGTTATTATTATTGATCATCACACAGCCAGATGTTCAGACTGGATTTGGCATTCTGTCTACCTATCGAGTCCTTACCCAGGACCTGGGATAGGCAGATGTGGATGTTTGATGGTATTACAGATATCGTCGCAGGATGGAAGCAGTTCCTAATAAGGCCGCCTTTTGCAATTGACTAATAGCGAATTTGTCAATGCCAATGGTGTTCAAGTGGTGCTCCAGTTGTTTTGGGATCTGGAGCTCCACTCCAGATCCCAAATTATTATTATTATTATTATTGCTGAGTTCTTTTTTTTTCTTGGTTTCGGGTGTGAACGAGGAAAGCTAGGGCTTTGAGGTGTTCTTTTGAAATGCTTTGGGAAGGAGGAGGAGGAGGAGGAGTTGGTAGGGATCTTGGAGGTCATCTAGTCCAACCCCCTGCTCAGGCAGGAAACCCTATAGTACCATTTCAGACAAATGGCTGTCCAGTCTCTTCTTAAAAACTTCTAGTGTTGGAGCATTCACCGCTTCTGGAGGCAGGTTGTTAATAATAATAATAAAGTTGGAAGGGACCTTGATGTCATCTAGTCCAACCCCCTGCTCAGGCAGGAAACCCTACACCATTTCAGATAAATGACTGTCCAGTCTCTTCTTTAAAACTCCCAGTGTTGGAGCATTCATAGCTTCTGGAGGCAGGTTGTTCCACTGGTTAATTGTTCTAACTGTCAGGAAGTTTCGCCTCAGTTCTAGGTTGCTTCTCTCCTTGATGAGTTTCCATCCATTGCTTCTTGTCTGCCTTCAGGAGCTTTGGAGAATAGCTTGACTCCCTCTTCTTTGGGGCAGCCCCTGAGATATTGGAAGACTGCTATCTTGTCCCCCCTCGTCCTTCTCTTCATTAAACGAGACATACCCAATTCCAGCAACCGTTCCTTGTATGCTTTAGCCTCCAGACCTCTAATCAACTTCCTGACTCATTGTCAATATCAATTTACATCCCTTAGCAATAAGATGTTCGTTGCTGGTACAAAAGTCTTTTTCAAAAATCACTTCTTTCATCTGTCAAAACAGAACTCTTTTTTATCCATTTTAAATCTCTCAAAACGGAGCGTACGTAAACCATTGACAAGTAAAAATCTCCCTTCTTCCAGATTTTCTCTTTTCTCTTCCAACGGATGTTAATAGCTCGGCATAAGTCAGCCAAGTGGGTTTAATTGTCCTTTCTCTTCTGAAGAAAGCTTTTCTGGGGCTTTGCTGTAGGTCTTTTTCCCGATTCTCCAAAAGCGCATTTAAAGAAGCGAAGCTTAAAATTTATATTGAATTTATCTTTAGCGTGCCCTAAGCAGCTGTGCCAGTCCCTTTAGTTCTAGTACAGGCAATCCTTGACTTACAACCATCCCTTTAGTGACCGTTCAAAGTTACAACGGCACTGAAAAAAGTAATAATAACAATAATGAAGTTGGAAGGGACCATGGAGATCATCTAGTCCAGTGGTTCTCAACCTTTTTAATGCCGCGACCCCCAACCGGTCGTAAGTCGAGGACTACTCAACCAGTCGTAAGTCGAGGACTACTCAACTGGTGCAGCAGCACCGTTTGCAGAATGGGACTTTTGGCGGGCTCAGCAGAGCAGAGACAGCCTGGACAATTCCTATTGGCTTTTGAAAGCCAATAAAATTAGACTCTATTCAAGAGAGTCTATTCTATTGGCTTTCAAAAGCCCATAGAATAAAAGGGAGGAGCACAGCTAAGGAAAAGGGGGGAAAAAAATGGCGGACTGCGTTGTTTGGGGACCCCCGTGAAATGGTCGTTCGACCCCAAATGGGGTCCCGACCCACAGGTTGAGAACCACTGATCTAGTCCAACCCCCTGCTCAGGCAGGAAACTGTGACTTATGACAGTTTTTCACACTGTTGCAGCATCCCCGTGGTCAGGTGATCAAAATTCAGACGCTTGGCGGCTGACTCATATTTATGACTGTCGCAGAGTCCCGGGGTCATGTGATCCCCTTTTGGGACCTTCTGACAAGCAGAGTCAATGCCGGAAGCCAGATTCACTTAACAACCATGTGACTAACTTAACAACTGCAGGAATTCACTTAACAACATTATAGTTTGTTATGAAGTGAGATAGTAGTAAAGTAAAGTTGGAAGGAACCTTGGAGGTCATCTAGTCCAACCCCCTGCTCAGGCAGGAAACCCTATACCATTTCAGACAAATGGCTGTCCAGTCTCTTCTTAAAAACCTCCAGTGTTGGAGCATTCACCGCTTCTGGAGGCAGGTTGTTCCACTGGTTAATTGTTCTAACTGTCAGGAAGTTTCTCCTTAGATAAGGGAAATCTTCGTTATCCAAGGTTTGAAAATTATGGACATCAAAGGTTAAATTGGAATATCGATGAGAAGTCAAAAGTTATGTAAAAATTAATAACAGGATATGGATGGTTTATGAAGATTGAATGTAATTAAGATATATATAAGCTAAACACTTATCGATAAATGTAATTATGATGTCTTTATTAATATAATTAGAAAAGTACTAGTTTGAATACGAGACAGTAAATGTTAAGGGAAAAAGAGAAGAAATATCTGATGTTGTAACCTGAGATTTGCACTAAAGATTTTGTTACTGAATTATCGATTAACTCAGTCGCCACGTTGCTTTTTAAACACTCAAATGTAAAATTGGAAAATTAATAAAATATTATTTTAAAAAAAGCAACAACTGTGACAAGGAAGGCCCTAAAATGAAGCAAAACTCACTTAAGAACTGTCTCACTTAGCAATAGAAATTTTGGGCTCAGTTGTGGTTGTAAACTGAGGATTGCCTATATAGTCTTTTATTTTGTAAAGTTATCGGTTCCCAAACAACAAAGTACAATATTAAATTAGGTCATATTAACCCTCCTCTTGCAAGAATTTCTATTTAATTCCTGGGGCTTTTGTCCCGTTTTATGACATTTTTTGCCACAGTTGTTCAGTGATTCACTGCAGTTGTTAAGTGAGTAGCACGGTTGTTAAGTGGATCCCGCTTCCCCATTGGCTGTGCTTGGCAGAAGATCGCAAAAGAGGATCACATGACCCCAGGACACTGCAACTGTCATAAATACATGCCAGTTGCCAAGCGTCTGGATTTTGATCATGTGACCCTGGGAAATGCTTGAACGGTCGTAAGTGTGAAAAACCATCCTAACTCCCTTTTTTCATTGCCATTGTAACTTTGACCAATCACTAAATAATAATAATAATAATAATAATAATAAAGTTCGAAGGGTCCTTGGAGGTCATCTAGTCCAACCCCCTGCTCAGGCAGGAAACCCTATACCATTTCAGACAAATGGCTGTCCATGAGCTGTTGTAAGTTGAGGACTGCCTGTGTAAAAACGACAGACTTGTTGAAACGTTCATTTTTAGAACTGAGATTCTATCTAATAATGACAATTGTAATTTGTCCCACCTCATTAAATCCATTTTGATCTCGTTTCACGTTTTAACATCATTATTCCGAAACACCATACAGTTCTTGGTAGCGAATGTAATTTAATTCCTAAATATCTTAATTTTAAAACCAATCTTTGCAATCAACAGTTCTTGATCTTGTAGACATATATATTTTTCCACCTTTTAGGCTTCTGTTTATTCATCTTAGAGCTGGCAATTTGCTAAAATGCTTCCATTTTTTTTCCATTAAATGGTCTGTAATATTCTGAGGATCCTGTACAGGTAGGCCTCCATTTTCAGCCATTTGTTTAGTGACTGTTCGAAGCTACAATGGCACCCAAAAAAGTAATTTAGGCCCATTTTTCACACAACATCCCTGTGGTTACGTGATTAAAATTCAGATGCTCGGAAACTGGCATGTATTTACGACGGTTGCAGTGTCCCGGGGTTACGTGATCCCCTTTTGTGACCTTCTGACAACAAAGTCAACGGGGAAGCCAGTTTCATACAACAACCATGTTACTAACACAACACATGAAGTGATTCACTTAACAACTGTGGCAAGAAAGGTCGTAAAATGGGGCAAAACGCATGTAACAACCGTCTTGCAGAACAACAGACATTTTGGCTTCAGCTTTGGTTGTAAGTTGAGAACTACCTGTATTACTAACTACTATTAGTGTTGTCGGCAAAAGACCACAACTTATAACTCTTTTTTGGCGGGTGGGGGGACGATGTTGGGTAAATACATCAGCCAAATGTATAGGTAGTCCTTGTCTTAAAAACAGAATTGGGACCTAAAACGTTAAAGGGTATGGTTGTTAAGTGAGACAAAGGATTGACGGCATTCACCTCCCGCCATTTTGTTCGTTTTCCCGCAGTTGTCTCCAGTGACAGTGACAGCGACTCTGAGATCAGCTCCTCCAGTTTTGACAGTCGGTCCTTATCCGTGAGATCAAAGAGTTTCCAGATCAGGAAACACCCAGCAGACTCTGGTGAGCAAATTCGCGGGTTGAAAAGCTGCAAATTTGTGTTGTTGTGATCTCACACTTCTTGCGGTTACTGGACTAACCCATTGGCTGGATTTCCAGGAGGCGGGGAAGAGTAATGACCACAGCTGTTTCTATTTGCATTGACAGTGGGAATGGATTTTGGTTCGTTCATTCATTCATTCATCAATCATACGTGGTGATGCAGTTGTTAGAACGCAGTATTGCAAGCTAACTCTGCCCACTGCCAGGAGTTTGATCCTGACCGACTCAAAATTGACTCAGGACCCTTCCATCCTTCCAAGGTCGGTAAAATCAGGACCCAGATTGCTGGGGGGGGGGGCGCAACAGGCTGACTCTGTAAACTGCTTAGAGAGAGCTGTAAAGCTCTGTGAAGCGGTATATAAGTCTAAGGCAGTGGTTCTCAATCTGTGGGTCGGGACCCCATTTGGGGTCGAGCGAACATTTCACGGGGGTCGCCAAACAAGGCAGTCCGCCATTTTTTCCCCCTTTTCCTTAGCTGTGCTGCTCCCTTTTATTCTATTGGCTTTTGAAAGCCAATAGAATAGACTCTCTTGAATAGAGTCTAATTCTATTGGCTTTCAAAAGCCAATAGGAATTGTCCAGGCTGTCTCTGCCCTGCTGACCCGCCAAAAGTCCCATTCTGCAAACGGTGCTGCACCAGTTGAGTAGTCCTCGACTTACGACCGGCTGAGTAGTCCTTGACTTACGACCGGTTGGGGGTCGCGGCATTAAAAAGGTTGAGAACCACTGGTCTAAGGGCTATTGCTATTTGCTGTGGTCAATAAATGGTCAATAAATGAATGGTTGTAGGCCAAGGGCTTCTTTTAGACAAGAATCACGTCAACTAACGGTCAGCGCCAAATTGGCACTAGATAAGAGTCAACAGAATTGAAGAGGGGTTGAATTTAAACCATTTGTGGGAATGTAACGACTCCAGGCTGATTCCTCTCTTGACTCTGCCCCCAGGCCCTGCCTGGCCTTCTACCTGAAGTCATAGTTCCAGTATTGTGCCTTTGGCAGCCCTGCTGGTTAGAATGCAGCATTGCAGGCTAATAACTCCGCCCACAGCCAGGAGTTCGATCCTGACCGGTTCAAGGTTGACTCAGCCTTCCATCCTTCTGAAATCGGAAAAATGAGGACCCAGATTGTTGGGAGCAAGTATGTCGACTCTGTAAACCATTTAAAGTGCTGTGAAGCGGTGTATAAGTCTAAGGCCTATGGCTATTGCTGTTCAAATGGTCAATAAATGAATGGTTGCAGGTCAAGGACTCCTTTTAGACAAGAATCAAGGCAACTAACGGTCAGCACCAAATTGGTGCTACATAAGAGCCAACGGAATTGAAGAGGGGGTTGAACCATTTGTGGGAACATAACGATTCTAGGTTGATTCTTCTCTTCACTCCATCCCCAGGCTCTGCCTGTCCTATATGAATAGAATAGAATAGAATAGAATAGAATAGAATAGAATAGAATAGAATAGAATAGAATAGTAACTTTATTGTCACTTTGAATGTACACTAATCGGCATACATTAAAGTGAAATTTCGTTACATATATGAAGTGATAATTCCAGTATTGTGCCTTTGGGAGCCCTGGTGGTTAGAATGCAGCACTGCACGCCGACTCTGCCCACAGCCAGGAGTTCGATCCTGACTGGTTCAAGGTTGACTCAGCCTTCCATCCTACCGAGGTCGGTAAAATGAGGACCCAGATTGTTGGGGGGGGGCAACAGGCTGATTCTGTAAACTGCTTAGAGAGGGCTGTAAAGTATATAAGTCTTAGGTCAGTGGTTCTCAACCTTTTTAATGCCACGACCCCCAACCGATCGTAAGTCGAGGACTACTCAACCGGTCGTAAGTCGAGGACTATTCAACGGGTGCAGCACCGTTTGCAGAATGGGACTTTTGGCGGGCTCAGCAGGGCAGAGACAGCCTGGACAATTCCCATTGGCTTTTGAAAGCCAATAGAATTAGATTCTATTCAAGAGAGTCTATTCTATTGGCTTTCAAAAGCCAAGAGAATAAAAGGGAGTAGCACAGCTAAGGAAAAGGGAAAAAAAATGGCGGACTGCGTTGTTTGGCGACCCCGTGAAATGGTCGTTCGACCCCAAATGGGGTCCCGACCCATAGGTTGAGAACCACTGTCTTAGGTGCTATCGCTAGTCTATTCAATTTATATTTTTAGGGATTTTGCCCTACTGGCTTCCTCTCCAGGCTGATTTTCATGCTCAATATCACGTTCAGTGATTTGGTTTTTTTTTTCCTGCTTCCTCCAGTTTCCAGTGGTGAGGCTGCTCAGTCGCCAAGTGGGAGTGTCGGTCGGACTTTGGGCAGTACCAAATCAGAAAGCCAGAGCAGTCTGGGCAGCGAGCGCTACAGTGCCCCGGAGGGCTACCAAAGTGATCGTGAAGATGGGGAGAGCGATACTGTCCGAAGCGCTCCCGGTGAGTGGGTCAGAATTTACAAAGGGAATTACCTAGGGGTGGGAGAAAAAAAAACACAGATTTGGTTGGGAGAAAAGTGGCTTATTACAGATACTCCTCGACTTACGACCTAGAACTAAGGAGAAACTTCCTGACAGTGAGAACAATTAACCAGTGGAACAACCTGCCTCCAGAAGCGGTGAATGCCCCAACACTGGAAGTTTTTAAGAGGAGATTGGACAGCCATTTGTCCAAAATGGTATAGGGTTTCCTGCCTGAGCAGGGGGTTGGACTAGATGACCTCCAAGGTCCCTTTCAACATTATTATTATTATTATTATTATTATTATTATTATTATTATTATTATTCCCAAAAATTCTGCTGCTCAGTTAGTTTTGTCCCATTTTATGACCTTCCTTGCCGCTGCTAAATCAATCACTGCAGATGTCCATGGAGGTTCTCCATAATTCCTGGTCATCGTTTATCCCAAAGGTGCTTTTTCAAGAGGCAACTGGACTTTCTTTTTAATAATAATAATAATAATATTAATAATAATAATAATAATAATAATAATTTTGTCCTTAGTTCTAGGTTGCTTCTCTCCTTGATTAGTTTCCATCCATTGCTTCTTGTCCTGCCTTCAGGCACTTTGGAGAATAGCTTGACTCCCTCTTCTTTGCGGCAGCCCCTGAGATATTAGAACACTGCTATTCTGTCCCCCCTCGTCCTTCTCTTCGTTAAACTAGACATACCCAATTTCAGCAGCCTTTCCTTATATATTTTAGCCTCCAGCCCCTAGATCATCTTTGTTGCTCATCTCTGTACTCTGTAATCTTTGAAGACGTTTCGCTTCTCCTCCAAGATGCTTCTTCCACTCTGACCGGGATGGTGGGGAATGGAAGCATTTATACTCCTAGCAGACAACTGGTCATTTGCCTTCTTTTAGAGCGGCGTTGAGGCCACTTGGAGGTTTATCTGTGTCCGCTGGCTTGAAAGAGGGGGCAAAGAGGCCATTGGTGTCAAAATTAAAAACAGCCCTCCCTCAACAGAGGAGGAGGGATACAACGTCATCCATCTCCAGTCTACAACACGGTACTTTCAGCAGTCCCAAGAAGGCTCGACACCCATTTGCACCACTCAGGTGACCCTGAGGACACAGACAAAACTCTAAGTGGCCTCAACGACTCTATAAAAGAATGTGTTTCAACATAGATGGCCACCACAAAATTGTACATTGGCTCCCGGCCGGCCTGGGCCAGGACGCAGGCAGTGGGGGGTGTTCCCTCACTGTTTCCAGGATGGCTTCGTGGGCCACATGAAACCACTCCGAGGCGTGAAGAGGCAACTTGGAGGTTTATCTGTGTCCGCTGGTTTGAAAGAGGGGGCAAAGAGGCCATCGGTGTCAAAATGAAAAACGCCTCTCTAAAAGAATGCAAATGACCAGCTGTCTGCACTGCAAGGAGTATAAATCCTTCCATTCCCCACCATCTAGTCAGAGCTGAAGAAGCATCTTGGAGAAGTGAAACATCTTCAAGGAAAAACAAGGAAGTCCAGTTGCCCCGTGAAGAAGCATCTTTGGGATAATCACTGCAAATGTTAAATGCATCATTTAGTCCAAACATGTCAAACCCAAGGCCCAGAGGCTGGATGCAGCCCGCAAAGTGGTTTCATGTGGCCTGCGAAGCCATCCTGGAAACAGTGAGGGAACGGCCCCCACTGCCTTGGCACCGACAATGGGAGACAATGCACAATTTTGTGGTGGCCCCCTATGCTGCAACGCATTCAGTCTTAGCTCCACAAGGATGTCTGGAAACAGCGAGGAACCAGCCCCTGCTGCGTTGGCCCCGCCCCTGTGTGCATGCTGGGGAGGTGTCGCCCTTTGTAAGGAATGAAGAAATGGACCATCGCCTGGAAGCGGCCAGCAAATGGCCCTCGCCGACTTCACCTATCCGGCTTGATGGGCTCTGCCCTGGTCCCACCCCCTTCTGCCAGAGACCCTCAGATCTGTCCCACTCCTGCCCAGGCCCCCACAGGCCCCCTTGACGCGAATGATGTAGAACTGGCCACGCCCACTCAGTAGGCCACACCCACTCCATCCATGCCCACCCAGTAGGCCGCACCCACCCTGACCCCCCCACCCTCCTCCAAGGGCAACCACAGTGCTGATGTGGCCCTCAATGAAATTGAGTTTGATACCCCTGATTTAGTCATTAAGTGAATCTGGCTGCCTCTGTTGACTTTGCTTGTTGGAAGCTGGCTGGGAAAGTTACAAATGGTGATCATGTGACCCCCGGGAAAGGGCAACTGTCATAAACATGGGTAGTCCTCGACTTACAATGGTGTCATTTAGTGACTGTTCAAAGTTACCGCGGCGCTGAAAAATGTGACTTAGGACCCTTTTTCACAGTTACGACCTTTGCAGCCTCCCTGCGGTCAGGCGATCCAAATTCAGATGCTAGGCAACGGGTTCATACTTAACAACGGTTGCTGTGTCCCCGGGGGTCACGCGATCCCCTTTTGCGACCTTCTGTCAAGCAAAGTCAACAGGGAAGCCGGATTCACTTAACAACCGGGTTACTAACTTATCCACTGCAGTGATTCACTTAGCAACTGTGGTGGGAAAGGTCGTAAAATGGGGCAAAACTCACTTGCCAAATGTCTCACTTAGCAACAGGAATTTTGGGCTCAATTGTGGTCGTAAGATGAGGACTACCTGTACATTCCAGTTGGCCAGCGCCTGAATTTTGATCTTTGTGACCGGGGGGGGGAGGGAGGCTTCAGTGGCCGTTAAGTGTGAAAAACGGTCATAACTCATTCTTTTTAAAATGCCATTGTAACTTCGAACTGTCCCTAAACGAGTGGTTGTATCTTGAGGACTAGCTGCGTTGAAGATCGGCTGGAATAAAATCCTGCTCCTGTTTATCCTTCTTTTGGAAATGATCTAGTTATCCGCCTGGAGCAGGGGTAGGCAACCTTGGCTCTTTTATGACTCGTGGACTTCAACTCCCAGAATTCCTGAGCCAGCCATGCTGAGGGGAAAGGGAGAGGTTTCCAAGCTGAGCCATACCGGCTCAGGAATTCTGGGAGTTGAAGTCCACCAGTCATAAAAGAGCCAAGGTTGCCTATCCCTGAAATGTGAGCATATGGGCAGTTGGACTTGTGAAATTTTAAACACCAACATCATGTTTTGCCAAGGGTCAGGGCAGCGATCAGGTGCCCAGGCAATTTGATCTTGTAGATCCAGAGACAATGAATCCTCCAATCAATTAAAGGGATTTTAAGCTTTATTATGAGCTCAGGCCATCAGAGATTAAAAAGCATGGCATAAAAAATATCCAGACTGTCAGGATCTCCTTTATAACGACAGCAGAGATACCCCAAGGGTGACTGTTTTCCCCAACACCCAGTGCCAGGTTCTGTGCAGCCGTCCCCATGAACAACACAACCCGAAGGTTTTTTTTAATCAAAGTTTGGCACCAGGACTTTGTGCCCTGCTATGGTCAGGAGACTGCAAATCAGCTTCCATGCCTCAGGCGGGACTGGAACTCACCGTCTCCTGGTGATTGGCCTACAGTCACCCAGTTGGCTTTCATGCCTAAGGCGGGACTAGAATTCACCATCTCCTAGTGATTGGCCCAAATCACTCAGATGGCTTCCATGCCTAAGGCAGGACTAGAACTCACCGTCTCTAAATGATTGGCCCAAATCACTCAGATGGCTTCCATGCCTAAAGCGGGACTAGAACTCACCATCTCCTGTTGATTGGCCCAAAGTCACCCAGCCAGCTTCCATGCCTAAGGCGGGACTAGAACTCACCGTCTCCTAGTGATTGGCCCAAATCACCCAATTGGCTTCCATGCCTAAGGCAATCACCAATCCTGGTGATTGGTCCACAGTCACCCAGTTGGCTTTCATGCCTAAGGCGGGACTAGAACCTACCATCTCCTAGTGATTGGCCCAACTCACCCAGTTGGCTTCCATGCCTAAGGCAATCACCAATCCTGGTGATTGGTCCACAGTCACCCAGCTGGCTTTCATGTCTAAGGCGGGACTAGAACTCACCATCTCCTAGTGATTGGCCCAAATCACCCAGTTGGCTTCCATGCCTAAGGCAATCACCAATCCTGGTGATTGGTCCACAGTCACCCAGTTGGCTTCCATGCCTAAGGCATGGTCTGGAAGCTCATCAGAAGCCATCAGGGTCTCCAGGACAAAAGGCTTCTGTATGCAACTGCCAGCTAACAAACAGGTCACAGCATTTTGGACCGACAAAAGTTTGCATGTGATCTGCAGGGCAAGTCCCAGCTAAAACCTTTTGCAGCCGTCCGATAGCCAGACACAGTTGTTGTTCCTTCCCAAAGTTGCCCGTGCGCTGATTGGGTCCCCGTTTTCCTCTTCTTAAAAAAGGGAAAAGACGCCTCTTAAAATGCCGCTGGCGAAGATGACCCGTCTCCAAGGCTGCCGCCTTTATCCTTGCTCTCCCTCTGCGTCGAACTCAAGGTGGACGTTCCGACGAGGATTCGAAGAGGAAGAACATGGGCCGTTGGCAATATGGCGACAACCTTATCCCCCTCGGTCGCACCTCCGCCTTCATGGTTACCAGCTGATCGGCCCCTTTGACACCCAGGAATCGCCGGGAAAAAAAGGCGCCTTGAAAATTCTTGCCATTGGATTTTTTCCAGCCAAGGATGGGTGCCGTGTCGAAACAACTTGAATTTGGACCCCAGATTCTGAGATTTTTCCTATGTTCCCCGAAATGATTTTCCTTTGAAAAATGGTAGAGAGGGGCCATTCTTTCACATCTGCACACCCACAAAACACCCTCCTGGTTTTCGTCCTGGGCAACAAAGTGGATATTATTGCATTGTAATTTACTCTGCAATGGAGGGAGGGAGGGTTGACGATAGACCCAAAAATGGCATCTGTGGCTGAGAATGAAAAAAAGGCAGCTGTTTCTCACTAGGAGATTGGTAGGATCTAGAACATCTGGCAGGAAGAGAGACAAGTGGGGGAGTGGTGGTGTCT